GATATTGTTAGCAAGCTGAGCCAAGTACGTACTGTCTCGCGTAACGCGTGAACCAAAAGTGGAACAATGACCCTCGCAGCGAAAGTACCAAATACACGGAGACGATTTAACACGATAAACGAGAAACTACATCTCAAACTCGTTGTTCCAGTCCTCTATAGTGCTGTGTCTCGGTTGGAACCGCGTGCGTCACAGCATGTGAATTAAACGTGATTGCACGGGAGTCTCATGCCATGAACCTATAACGCTCGATATCAATAAGTGTCAAATATTGTTTATATATTGAGCCAACAGAATATTCCTGGTATCACGCGCGCGTGCGCGTGTGCGTGCTTGCGTGCGTATGTGTGGGGGGTACGAGCGCGTGCGCGTGTGTGGGTATTAGAGTGTATAGCAATAAATTAACACCTAATTATCGATGAACAACGCGCATCAGCATTAACTACGACGATCAGTAATTAGGAGTTGCTAGTTGCTGACAGGTGCCGTCCGCGCGATACGTAGGAAGCCTACAGCCAACATCCCCATATATATTCCGCCCAGCTAAGAGTTCATCTCAGACCATAGGTCGTTGCCTCTCGCTTGCAACTACGCACACACGTTAACTGGAATGTGGAGCAATGAACTCAGCAGTGAAAGTTGCTGGTTTCGCACGCGCAGCCTAGCTATACTCTGGCATGCAGTGGTATGATATGTGCTCAGCACCTTACCGCGAGCGATTCACGCCTATATGAGAGAAAGGGATGGGTGGGGGGGGGCGAGAGAGGGGAATAAAGAGAGAGGAAGAGACAGAAAAATAGAGACACATTCAGAGAAAGACAGAAAGAAAGAGAGAGAGAGAGAGAGCGAGAGAGAGAGAGAGAGAGAGAGAGAGAGAGAGAGAGAGAGAGAGAGAGAGAGAGAGAGTTGGGCGGGAGAGAGGAAGAAGGAGGAGAAAGTGGGAGAGAGCGAGAAAGAGAGAGGGGGTCAATACAGACAGAGCAAACGAGAAAGAGAGAGGGGGAGAAAGGGAGAGAGAGGCGGCTGTTAAATTTTGCTACGTAGTTCCTATGATATTCGATTCCAAACAGCTGAGTAAAATCATTGACCGAGCTTCGGGATCATGTTTCAGTATCTTTAGCAGTTAATATTCGATCAGTTTAATTGATTAATTAACCATTCTAACGGAAATTATGTTCGAACGATAAACAGCTTTTTCCTTTGCGCTGTATACAACTTTAAAGCTTTGCATATAAACATATAGGCTGATTCTTTAAGTCGTTGAGGATCAACCGACGGCAGCCAGGGTCTTCTGGAATCAGTCTATTACGTTATCAACTTATGCACGTTAGGTAATTCGTTACAACCATTGGTTAGACTAATTTATAGGCGTAGCTGCGTGGGAATTTGGGAAAGCACCTCTATTTATAATCTCTACTTTCGCTACGCGCACCGAACAAGAGTTTAGAGAAGTTCGAAAGGAAGCGAAGAAAGGTTCATACGTTCAGCGCTCATGCAGCGAACTTGCCACGGCGCTGAGCCGTAATGTGGGACAACGACCTGCGACCGTATACGATGTGCCCACTGATCGCGAGCGTGAGCAGCCACAGACTGCACTGTTCAGAGAGCATCTCGGACGGGGCGGGGGATCGAGTGACCGAGGCATTGAAGGTTCAAGCGTATATCTTTCGTAAATACCTTATATTATATTATATATATTACAGGGATTTAGGAAACTAGCGAGCCGACTGCTGTTAACAGTATACTGCGTACGGTTCACGCACGCCTCGTAAGGAAGTATAAGGATCAACTGGTATACCTACTACACTCGCTACCCAACAACCACTGACTGTTTGCACGTAAAATAAAATCGCATCTAAATTTCAAATCTACAATTAATTCACACATGAGAAAACTTGATCAGTCAACACGTCCGGGTCGGCGTCGTCTTTAATCAGAAATGGATCAACAGATCTAAACTTGTATTAAACTTCCCCCTATTTCTAGCTAGCTCGCAGGTACGTGGGGGCATACATGCAGTCCATCAACTAGGTGATGTCGTGGCAGGGGTCGATGACACCATTCTCAGTACGGAATCATTCTGAGTCACTGTATAGGTACTGGCACAACGGCCTACACACACGAAAGTGAAAGCGTACATGCCAGTATCATAATACTATTATAATACATGACGATGTACACACGCACGCACGCACACATACAAACACAAACACAAACACACACACACGCACACGCACACACACACACACACACACACGCACACGCACACGCACACGCACACACACACACACACACACACACACACACACACACACACACACAC